CCTTGCTCCTAGTAGCGATGCCAGGAGCCCCTAGTAGCGTCCTTGCTACTAGTAGTAAGGCCAGGAGCTACTACAAGTATCCAAGATGCTAGCGAAACTAGGATTCCCCATACAGCAGGCAAGACGGTGACATGATGGCACATCCGGGAGAAGGTTTAGACCCTCAAATCTCAATTTGAGCCTACTCCTTTTTGGCCCTTTCTTATCAAAGAATGAGCGCTCCTCGAACCATCATGAAGCTTGCGAGCTGTGAGAGGCAGATCCCTTCTTATGATCGTCATCCGGGGGTCAAAACCGATACTGGTGAAGACGTAGCTTTGTGCTGGGATCGGTTCTTTGATCCATCCATATCAATTCCAAGCAATTTCTCTATTTCGCATAGCGAAGCGAGACCAATTCTCATCCCCTTGTTCCGGGCCTTCGCCACAGGAGCTTTGAACCTCTCGGGCTGCTCACCTCAGTTCTTTTGGTGAGTGCAGGTGGGTTCTGTCGTCCATTTTGAAGAGGACGACGGACCGGCAAAGGAACAACGAAAGGCCTGACGGTCAAAAGAAAGGAAAGAAAAGGAAGAAGAAAGAAAAAGGAAGAAGCGAGCTAAGGTCTGCAGAAAACAGAGAAAACCAAAAAGGACAAGCCGCTTTCCAAGAAATGTAAATAAATACATTGTTCTTCGCTTCCCCCAAACCAAAGACAAGAACGTGGTCTACTCTGTCACTGGCAGCATCTTCATCTCAATCTCCATCGTCAGCAGTTTGGAAAAATACGTGCATCCCTCAAGACCGAATGAGAACTCCTCAACATCGCTAGTTGGCGACGCCTCTCGTCCTGGCTTCGACTCCCTCTTACTATGTCAAGGAGGCTGAAAAAGACCAAAATTGAAATCCGTTGATTCCTTTTGACCATCAGAAGCAACAACAAACCCTTGAACATGCCCCCGGCTACTGCCATCCCAGCGCACCGAGATCGGTCGGGTGTGTCAGGTGGCCATATGGGAGGCCCCAGAAAGTGCGAACCATTTCAATCGTCTCCTGCAAATCGACACGATCGGGACGATAGCGGAGTAACGGCAGATTGGCAGATCAGGTGAGTACCCAGAGGTTTTCAGGAAAACAACTGTTCTTTGAAGTAATTTATTCTCCAAATGGTCTTTTGGATCGCTGGTCCGACTCAGTATCTGAGAACATCTTGTTGAATGACGATTGAAAGAATCGAATGGCGTGCTGGCGTCCACTCTCAGGAGCCAAACAAATCCTTTCACCTTGGTCACTTGGGATTCTTTGAGGCCAACCTGCTGTAGAGAAAGATCTGGGTTTTTAGTCCGCTCCTACCTAATTAAGGAGGTAAGCTGCTAGGCTAAGTTAGCTTCTAGGTAGCACGCAGGATAGCTCACGCTTCTTCAAGGAAGCTCCCCCCACCTAGTGAGTGAGCTTCTTGAAGAAGCGCTCACACTAATCATTTAGTTCCTAGCTTTTTGGGAACTTAACATACGGCAAGGCCTGGAACTTAACTTCAAACAATCTGTACTGCTAGGAGCAAGGACGCAATTACGGGCTCCTGGCATCGCTACTAGGAGCAAGGACGCTGCAACTTACTCTACGGCTAGGCCTGCAACTTAACATATGATTCTTCCAAGCTTTCATGGCTGAATTCAGCCTGGCACCGCCTGTCACTGAAAGGATACGATTGGTCTCAGTCATTCAGACCCCTTCTACAAGGCTCACCTCACACCTCAATGCCTATGCAGCAAAGGGGTAAGCATCCACCGGTGGTGAACTGATCCAGCGGTCCAAACGAAGAGCTCTTCCTATTCTACCCTTAACTCGTCTAAAGTGTGCATTTCGACACCCAATGTCCAAATCGAAAAGGTACTTTCTATTTTCGAGACCGCATGGGAAAGCTCACAAGTGGGTTGCGTCCAAAAACCCGACGAGAAACCTGCAGAGAAACCCTTCTAGCTGCTAGCTCCAGTGTCCACTGGTCCTTGTTCCTAGTAGCGTCCTTGTTCCTAGCAGTATGGCCAGGAGCCCCTAGTAGCTTCCTTGCTCCTAGTAGCGATGCCCTTTGCTCCTAGTAGCGTCCTCTAGCCCTGCCCAGGTCTCCCCCCCAACGAGACGCCGAGGCCTGCCCATCGGCCCACTGCAAAGGGATCTTTCGCAAGATCGCTTGTGCGTCGCCGCTGGGCGCATGGAAGATTTTCGACTCCACCTCATTGGGATCACCGCACCGCACCGGGTCACAGCTGTGGAAGCCACAAAGAAACACGTGAGATATCAGATCAAAGCAAACGTTGTCAACACAATGGGAGTAGGTGACCAGGTGACCTTTACGATATTTATAATACGACGTTCTCGGTGCGACCTGCGGGCAGTGGAACCTGCGGCGATTCGTCTGTCCGACGGGGCCTGGTGGCGACAGTGCCCTTCAGGAGGGGAGCCTGACGGGAATGGTGATTGACATTCGTCCTTTTCTGCTTCTCAGGCGACTAGGAACAAGGACGCTACTAGTAACAAGTGCATCGCTTCTAGTAACAAGTGCCTTACTAGTAGTAACAAGGACGCTACTAGGGGCAAAGGGCATCGCTACTAGGAACAAGGACGCTATGGACCCAAAGCCGGATCCGGAACGAAATCTTTGCCTTACCAGGTACCCTACCCTAAAGGCTCTTCTTCTGCGCTACGCTACTCCGGTTCCCAATCCACCTCCTACTTAGACTGGCAGCTGGCAGTGAATGATGTATGTCCGCCTGTGAGGTTTGCGCCGTTGCAGGAGAGGGTGGCCACAAGCTCTGGAAAATCCTGGGACTTGGTCACTTGTGGCCCGTGAACACTTGGGAAAGCACATGGGTCAGTAGAGATCGGGAGGTGACAAAGATCAAGCTCACGTCGATGAATGGGTTTCTTGGCTTCGCTCCATCCCAAGAGCCACCTGGCCTTGGCTCCAAAGACAAAAGCGACGTGCGTGCTTGTTGGATGGACATGGTACGTCCAGCCCAGCAATTCACCTCTAGTGGACAGCTTTCCTGTTATGATGTCCCAATCCCAAAACATTTCAGATGACGCTACTAGGAGCAAAGGGTATCGCTACTACGAACAAGGACGCCACTGGGGGCTCCTGGCCTTATTACTACTAGGAACATGAAGCTATTGGAAACTTCTTCACGAAAAAGACAATGAATAACTCCGACCTTCCACCAACCATGCCCGCGTTGAGCGTGCAATTGTCAGGGACCCGTCTGGGGCAAAATGGGAGATATTGACACACCTGGTTGTCATACACCACGAGCAGTGGTCCCTTTGAAGCGTCATTGTACACTTTGGAGCGCGAGGATTCAAGCACCCTTCCGGGATTCTTAGTAACAAGAAACTCTTTAGAAGGAAGCTTCTAGGGGCTCCTGGCCTTACTAGTAGTAACAAGAAGCTTCCTTGGGATTCATGCGTTCACCTTCGATCGATGTCTTGAAACGGTGATCCCTGTGAGTTTGTTTCAGGGACGACCGTGACCACTGGGAACTGGGAAGATGATGAGGAGAGAGGAGCGGGCTAAAAGGAAATAACACACACACCGGACACACCAGCTCTTCATCCAGCTCTTCGTCCATTCCCCGCTTTCCGGGACGTCCTTGCAGGCCATCTGGCAGCTTTTCCCGGACAAACACTTCTCCAGGTCCTCCTGACGCGACCAAAAAGCTTCGGACGGAGGATCGGGCGTCTCCCAAAGCGTCCAAGCTCTGTTTGCTGGTAGTGATTCGTGTGAGGTGGCTTTGCTCCCCTCCCATTCCGGAAAAAATGCACGGGGGAGGCCTTTCCCTTGGCCCTAATCCCAGTAGCAGCTCCCACAGAGTTGCACAAAGGCCCCTCCTAGCTTGGGTATCAATAAGCGCTTATTTCCACTCGTCACTAGCCCTTCCAGAACCACAGTGACTTTGCAAGGTGATCAAACGTCCTGTGTCACCTTTGGCGACCTTCAAGTTTTCCGAATGGTGCTTTAAAAGAGACTCACAAACACCACCAGCTTCGTGCAACTAGCCGTTTCATGTCTGTTTTGTCAACCGTTTCGAACCCCGCCTGTCGGTATCGCCAGGCGTGCTGTGCGAGGCTGGCTGGGAAATCAGCACAAGCTCCACCTGCGCACACGATGTGCGAGGTGATGAGGAGATGAGGTGAAGTAATTAGTGTTTCAAGTAATGAGTGTTGTGATATTCAAAGGACCTTTTGTGCAACACACTCGGTGTTTGGGCCAACTATTGAAACACGTCTTAGGGCAACCCGGCAACTCCTTTCATCCCTTCACACCGGAGTGATGGATGAGTGATAGATGTCCGGCAAAAACACATCTATCACTCTTTTACAGCCATTTGTTGTAGACAGTCATCTGGAACCTGCAACATTCCAGTGGCAAACCTGTAGCTAACTGAACCGCTGAAATCGCTCCGTGGCATCCTGTGGCCTGCTCGATGCTTCTGGAGGATCTTCTGCAAAGCGAGCTCCGCACTGCTGGTGGCGTAGCCACAAAGTGCCACTCCTACAGGCAGCTCACTGTGCGAGCGTCGAACATATTCCGGAAGAGTCGAGAGCATTTCGATCGTCTTTTCGAGTTTTGGCACCTTCGTCCAAGTGATATTTAGTAGTAACAAGAAGCTAGTAGTAACATGCCTTTCGATGCTCTTGACCGTTTCGCTCCTGAGAGATGTGCGTCGATCTTCGCCTCGTTGATCATGCCATCGACCCACGCCTTCCGCGGCCGTGGGTATGGAACTCTTCCAACACGTCGACTTGTACAACAAGTTGGTGTTGAAATTGGTGATTGAACAACTTCGCTAGTAGGGTGGAGGCCATGGCTCGTAGGTTGGAGGCCATCGCTTCTAGGTTGGTGATTGGATATTGGTGCATGAGTTCCTTCCATGAAAATGGCCTTCCTCTAAGCGGATAAATGTTTGGGATAGGGTATGATAAGGGGCCAACGGCGGAGTTCCGGACTGAAGGTCCAACCTAGGAACAAGGTTCGCTACTAGGGGCTCCTGGCATCGCTACTAGGAGCAAGGACGCTTCTAGGGGCTTTTGGCCGTACTACCAGGAGCAAGAAGCTACTAGGAACTACAAACCAGGTCCAACAATCGAAGCTGATCACATTCGGTTTGGTCGACGGTCGACCGGGGGCGCGGAAGGTGCCGTCGCCTGACCGAACCAGGCCGTGAGCTCTTTGGTCCTCGGCCGTCCCACGAAGCGTCACGAAGCGGCTTCTTGTTACTAGTAGCGATGCACTTGTTACTAATAGCTTCTTGTTACTACTAGTAAGGCACCTGTTACTACTAGCGTGGCACTTGTTACCCCAAGAAAGCCGAGCGCTGATTTGCTTAGCTTGGACTTCATTCATGTGGCTCTTGCATGTGCTGCAAGTGGAGATGCATGGTCCACTGGCAATGTGAAGTGCTTTGCGTGTTTCATACCCCTCGTGTCAAACCCTGGTACCAGGTTGGTTGGAGGCCATGGCTACTACTAGCAAGAACGCTACTAGTAGCTAGGGCATTACTACTAGTAACAAGGACACTACTATAAGGGCTCCTGGCATCGCTACTACGAGCAAGGATGCTACTAGGGGCTCCTGGCCTTACTACTAGTAAGTAGCAAGGACGCTACTAGGTTGGAGGCCATCAACGTAATTCCGCTCTGGCATCTCTTGGGCCAAATTCTCCATGCCTTGCAACCGGCACTTGATCTAGCTTCCCACCCAGCAATCTGGGCGTTCCGCGCAAGCCGGCATCGAACTCGAAGGCCACAGCCAGGTGCACCAGCTGCACTAAGCTGAGCAAGCGCAGAGCCATGGCCAGCTTGTCACAGTTCGTCCAAGTGCGCTGCGAGTCTCGTGATCAGCTGTGTCGTGAAATGCTTCTTTCGAGTGCCTCTTTCGTTTACTTGGGAGAGTTTGGGAGAGTTTGCTGTGCACCCGATTTGAGGGAAACAGTAACAGGACACAAAACGCCCAGTCACGCTTTGGATCGTTATAGCGTTCCCCGGTCTGCCAGTCTTAGAAGGTGAGAGACGGTAAGAGGGAAACTTTTTTCGAAGCAAGCTGTGATGTTCCACCTCTAAGCTGGTCTTGAGTTGGAGCGCCAACATGCAACGTGGTCGACGGTTCCTAGCTTCAGTAAAGGCCTGATGAAGTACTCTGAGGGCTCAGAATGGCTTTGACCTCCCGGTATGTCCGATAGTTTCCCATGAAAGTTTCCGTTCTCCTACCTCTTTGAAGGATGTTCTACTCCTAAACACACAAGAAAACCTTGTGAGCTTTTGGCAAAATGAATCTTGCAACCTTGCAAAGCCCTGCGTACAAAATGAATCTTGCAACCTTGCTAGGACTGGAAAGTCAAGCAACCATTGAAACGCCCTTGAGTTGATCAGACGATCACACAAAGGTCACAAGGTAGTGAAGCCTCCAAGTAGACCCAGGCTGCACCCTGCATGCAAAACACTGCAAAAGTATAGCGATGGCCTCCAACCTAAGAGCAATGGTCTCCATCCTAATAGCATGAAAACCACTGCAAACCCAAATGTGATCAAATACTTTCGCACATAGAGCCTTGCACGGAACCAAACCATTGGTGTCCAACCCAGATCTATGAGGATGAACATGCCATGTTGAAACATTGCAACAAACAGGAACGCTCTATCTACCTCACCCTGCAACATCTTTCCAAGCAGCAACCAAAAACGCGTCCACGGCACTCCTCCTCCACTGGGACCTTCACGTTCTCCCCGTGCTCTGTTCCGTCACGGCCGCCGGCAAACTCTGGAGGCCGTGCCTGGCGGGAAGGTATTCTAAATTGCATCGCTACTAGTAGCAAGAAGCTAGCAGTAGCAAGGTGCATTGATACTAGTAGCAAGGACGCTACTAGTAGCTAAGTGCATAGTTAAAATCTTGATGTCTTTTTCCTCGTGAGGGGTCACCTACGTTTCGCTTCTGTGCCCAAATTTGTGTGACGCATCGTGACCAAATCCATTCTCTAAATCTAAGATAGGTTTTGTTTGCCTCAAAGCGTTCAAACAATCAACATGTTGCAACGTTGACTAGACCCGACTGGACCTGTAGACCGGGTTGCACAACAATATTACTGAAGTCGCCTGAAGAATCGTATCTTTTCTCGCCTCTTCTCCCAAATCTACTCTTCCTAAGTCTCAAATCCTAATCTACTCTTCCCAGGTGGAAAAAAGAGGTCAGGTGGATTCGGGGCTGGCTATCTGCAGCTGTCCAACTCGTAGATCGATGTCGAACACAAGCTCCATTCAACGGGCCCAAGGTCCGGGCCCAGGGTTGCGGTGCTTGCTGCGGCACGGGGCGGACCTTCCGGTAACGCTCCTCGGAGTGAGAAATTGCTTTTTCCTTGCTCCTAGTAGCGATGCCAGGAGCCCCTAGTAGCGTCCTTGCTCCTAGTAGCGTGGCACTTGTTACTACTAGTAAGGCACTTGTTACTAGTAGTGATGCCCTTTGTTACTAGTAGCGATGCCAGGAGCCCCTAGTAGCTTCTTGTTACTGCCTTCTTTTCAGGGGGGGCTAGGCCGCGGAGGTCGCTAGCTAGAGGTAGAAATAGCTGGTATAGCGGCTTTTTCGCGCGGGGGGGGGTAGCTACTGACCGGATGCAGGAGAGCTCGTGCTTCTTCAAGGAAACTCCCCCAGGGCGGCGGGGCAAGCTTCCTTGAAGAAGCGCTCGCGCTAATGATATGGTTCTTTGGAGTCCTAGTAGCGTCCGATCGCTCCTAGTAAGGCCAGGAGCCCCTAGTAGCGTCCTTGCTACTACTAGTAAGGCCAGGAGCCCCTAGTAGCGTCCGCTGTTCCTAGTAGCTTCCGAAAGACGAAGGGCGTTCACCACATGGGGCCGAGTTCAATCTGAACCTGTGGGCTGTCTACATGGCTTATTTGCAAACCGCCGACTTCAAAGAGAACACATGTAATACTTTGTCTGTATTCTTTTCTTCCGTCTTCTTTTCTTTGAGAGCTTTTGACCATTCGTTCCTTTTTCCTTTCATTTCCTTTCAACCGATGATCTTGTTTGGACTTAGTTTGGCTTCCGAACATGTTGATCAGCATCTGCAGGCACTGCTTTCTCACAGGCTTGGTGGAACCACTTCGACCTTGTTTCATTTCACACCGATGAATCTAGAGATGGCAATGCTCAATTTTCACACCCATATTGGTCTACGTGCTTTTCCACCCTGCATTATCAAGACCCGATTTACAAGCAGACAGACTTTGCTGGGAAGCGATCCAAATATGGCGTTGTAGGGTGTGACCGGTGTGAGCCGTTACATTCTTCTGCAAACTTAGAAGCCTTACTCCTACTGTCAAGAATGCTTCTAGAAACAAACGAGTGCTTTCTTAGTTTGGAAGCCATCGCTAGTGGGTTGGAGGCCATTGCTATTAAGTATCGTCGCTTGTGATGGCTGCTTTAAAGTGCAAGCTGGCTCGAGATGTGTGCCCCAACACAATGGCCCAATAGAAGGGAAACACATACCATTGACCACAATTTACAACAACACTTTAGAACAAACTAAAGATAAACAAAGAGAACATCATCCTTAGTAGAAGCCAAGGCTCCATAATGCTCATCCCACGGGCGAGATATGGGCGCCATCCTTGTACGCAGTCCGACATGAAAGATGGTCAAACCAAGATTGGTCACTGCCGGTTGCATTCCTGTTTGTTTGTTTGCTTGCTTTTTTTCAAGTCTTAGTTGGTGCGAGTTGTGTTTGGTGGACTGAAAAGGATGCTCTGCAAAAAGGTGCCCTTCCATACTTGTGCTGCGAATTTGTCACAGAAACCTGGCAAGCATGCAAGCTTTTTCGGGTATTCGTGTTTCTCAAGCAAATCGTCCTTGTAACTCCCCCAAATGAAATGAAGTCCATCTAATTGTTCTTTCATTTCCAACCAAAACCTTCTTCGGGCAATTCGCGCCTTGGATGTGCGCACGGGGGAGCCGCTGCATGATTGTTCATGTGGCACCGCTCAGGCAGATGACGTCATTGATCTTGGCTGATTTTGACCATAGCTTTCCATTATTTCCCGGTTACTACTAGCTCCCTGCTACTTAGCGATGGCCTCCAACCTACTAGCTTCTTGTTACTAATAATTCATTAGGGGAGGATGAAGGGACTCCCATCTATCAACTACAAAAGTGGAAGTCCCATCAACTCAACCACCCAAACGTTCAATAACCCTCGCCATCTCGTTTTTGATGCCACAAAATCCTCCGAACACGATTTCTTGAAGACTATGAGCAAAATGAAAAACAAAGTGCTTTCTATGCCAACATATACGCATTGTGTAATTACCTGGCAACTGCTACCCATCGTTCAATTGTCTGTCAACGGAACCGGTCATCACATACATCGGTGAATGACAAAGCTCTTTGGGGTGGCTCGTGGAACGGGCCCAATGGACTCGTCCAAGGAAGAGCCTCTTTGTGAACGCGGATCTGCTCAAGTTCGGACCATTTGGATCTCGGTTTCACTTTTCACCAAGGTCCTCTTCGTCCTCTTCCGTGAATCAGCACTGAAGCTCTCGTATTTTCAAAGCTTTGAGCAACTTGCCACTTTGAGCGGCAATCTCATGCCAGCATGTGTCACTTGAACTTTCGATGTATGGACAGAGGAGCTCAACTTTCAGCCTGAAGTTGATTTCACCCAGCACTGTTCTTCTCTTCCTTCCAATCTCGAAGGTCTCTATGAATTTCGTCTTATTCTGTTTTCCATTGCTCTCTTCTTTTCCTCCCTTTTTCTTTCAGTGTCTTCTTCCCTCTTCTCTTTGATCTCCTCTGACTCCCTCCTCTTGTCTGCCTCTGAGTCTATCACAGAAAACGCATCCATGATGGTGTGTTTCGACTTCGGTGATCACAGCTGTTCGTGTCACTCGTCCCCGCATAAGAAAGGGAATCAGAAGGAGAGGAGATCCCAATAGCGATCGCCTCCAACCCAATAGGTTTGGCCTCCAACCTACTAGCGATGGCCTCCAACTTACTAGTGATGGCCTGCCACCTACTCATCAAGTTGTCTGCAAACCAACATATCCAGAAAGACGCCAAACTGGTCCTTGCGGTGAACTTTCAACATGTTCAGCTCCATTTGGCGACTACCTCATTTTGGAACTCAGGTAGCTTCTCCTAAGCGACCACTCAGTGACCGCGTTCTGCCTTCAAGCTTCTGGACACAATGAAGTGCTTTCATCGTTTGGTTTACAAAATCTTTCCACAAAATTCCACAAATAAGTCCAACGTTGGCTTGAACTTGAACTGACTGCTTCCTAATTTTTAGAGCAAGAGCAAGAGGCATTCCATGGCTTTCCACTTCGTTGTTCAGAAACCAGAATCACATTCCAATCTTAAAAGACCTCAAAGAGCATGGGAAAACACATGTCTAAAGGTCTAAAAGAAAAAGAAAAAGAAAGCACAACAAAGCGTGAAAGAATGAAAGAATGCGAACCGTGCCCATTCTGAAACCTCAGGATGGGTTTCCAACTTTGTAAACAACTGGGCACCCAAATGAACCTAAAGAAAAGGGGTCTACACAAAAAGAGGAAAGAAGAACAACACATCACCAACAAAGGAAGCAATAGAACACAAAGGTCTGGAGGAAGATAGAAAAGGCCTAATCCAAGAAAGAAAAACATGTCAGTCTAAAGAAAGCACAAGAAAACAAAGACAGAACAAGAACAGGACAACGGCCTAAAGAAGAAAAGGAACCTAAAACATGTCTACAGTAAAGAAAAAGGGCAAACAAAAAGGTCGAAAGAAACAACGACAACCGTCAAAAGAAGACATGAGCATAACAGAAA